TGTTGTGCAGGTACTGCTGCCAGAGCCTTGGTGCTTGTTTGATCACGTAGAGGGATTTGCGTAGCTGGCACACGCATAAATCCCCTTCGCCATATGTGTGCGGCTGCTCCACGTAGATCACCACGTCCACTAGCGCGTAAAGGAACGCGTTCTTCACATCGATTTGTCGGAGCGGTAGGTGTCGTGCGGCAGCGATGGCGAGGAGAATTCTGACGCAGGCGTGGCGGCTGACCGGCGCAAACGTCTGGTCGAAGTCAATGCCGTGCCTGTGATCGTAGCCGCGCACGGCCCAGCGCACGTTAAATCGCTCGATTGTGCCATCCGCTGCGGTCTTCACGCGGAAGACCCATTTGCCGGAGAGAATCCTTCTTCCCTTGATCGCAGCGCCATCGACAAGCACCCAGGTGTCGCGGGACTCGAGCGCCCTGATTTATGCATCCATCGCCTCGCGCCATTCCTTGCTGTGTGGTCCCGTGAGTGCCTGGCGCGGATTCTTGGGCTCGACGACACGTGGCGCCGTTGAGGTGGCGGTGTGGAGCCCTAGCAGCTGCAGTCCTGAGACGGTGATGTCGTGGCGATGCTGCGAGATGACCTCCTGCACGTCATCGTCGTCGCTTTCTGGTTCAGGCGGTGATGCCGCTGCGCCTCCGCTGCTTCCTCCTACTCCGCCGAATCCTCCTGCTCCGCCGACTCCTCCCCCTGAGGGGTCTTTGTCGTCGTCGTCACTGCGGCGATCTCCTCCTGTGAACTCTCCTCTGGTATCTTGCTCCAGGATGGCTGCGGCATCTTCGTCCTCGGGCGTGGCATAGCTGTGCCCGTCATTGGCGTAAACGCGATTCGCGTTCGTCCGCTCGTCTTCGCGGAATTGGCCGAGGAAGAGACGTTCGTAGAAGATCACGTCGCGCGCCTTCGTGATTTTTTGGCTGGTGAGGTCCAGAATTAGCCACGCCTTGTATTCGCGGCTGATGCCAAGATGAATCCCCCAGCGTGCTCGGCTTGCGAACTTGCCGATGGTTGATGTCGGCGGGCGGTACTGCACCATGCATCCCCACACGCGGATCATGGATGTGTCGCCCTTCATCCCCGTCCACTTCAGATGCGGGGATAGGTTCCTGGTGATGGCGGTGGTTGATAGCAGGTTGTGCACCCGCACGGCGTGGTGCATCGTGTACGTCCAGTACGTCGGGGAAAGCTTGGACTGCTTCAGTAGCGCTCGCACCTTCGTCATGAGCGTGCGGTTAGTGCGCTCGGCAACGCCCTGCTGCTGATGTGCGTAGGGGAGGGAAACGTGGTGTTCAATTCCCTTCTGCGCCAGGTAATCCTGTAGCTCCTTGCTGCAAAACTCCGCCGCGCCGTCCGACTGCCAGATCTTCAACTTCTCTCCGGACTGCCGCTGCGCGTGTGCCAGCCAAAGGCGGAAGGCCTCGTAAGCTCTGCTGCAGGTCTCCAGGTTCACAACCTACACATAGCGGGTTCCTGCGTCAATGAAGGTGAGCGTGTACTACTCGTCGTTGGTTTCGCAGTATCCTACGACAAGGAATTCGCTGTACACCTTCTCCAGCTTGGTGTAGCGGTTGATTCCGGGTTCTAGCAGGGGGGAGGGCTGATGACTCAGCGCGGCTTCGGGGCAGACGGTGCAGTTGCGCGGCTGCGAGGTGCTCCTTACTACGGTGCCATCAGGGCGCAAGAGTGCGCCAGGCGCAAACACGCTGGCCTCGATGCAGTTCTTCAGTGTCACGCGCGAGGGGTGACCGAGGCGCTGATGCCAGAGGTCATCGTTGGCGCGGAGACCAGAGGTGCGCATGTAGCGCGCGTGTGCTGCTGCGGGGTCCTCGTCAGGTACTTGGGCAGGTTCCGCCGCTGCTTCTTCAGCTTCTTCTTCTTCTTCCGCCGTCGTCAGCATCAGCGCCAAGAATTCCTTGTGAAGGATTACGGAGAGGGGAATGTTAGTGCCGGAAATTGTTCCGGGGAAGTACGTAGGCTCGCACGGCTCGGGGTCAAGTCCGTAGGCTGTGCGACGGGGGGTTGAGGGATCATTCCCCCAGTCGATGGTGTTCCAAGGGTCGCGATGCGGCTGGACGTCAGGTGGGGGGAGCGCAAGTGCAGGGCGACGCGGGGGACGACCGAAAGGAACAACAACAAGTTCCGCCTCTGCTCCTTTCTCCCCCCTTATGTTCTTCGCGGGAAGTTCCCCAGCCTCCGCCAGAGGTACCCCAGCCGCTTGATCCGCCGCCAGATGCGATGCCCCATCCGCCGACTGCGTCTGCCCAGGTCCCGCCAGTGTCGCCGCCAGTTGCAGCGCCCCATCCACCGGTGTCGCTCGTTCCCCATCCGCCATTCCGCAATGTTTCGAGTCCTTGCTCCAGGCTGGTGAGTCGCTGAAGCAGTTGTGCGAGGACGGCGGTTCCAATCGTCGTCGTCTCCTCGCTTGTCGCAGCCGGGTTGGGCTGCGCTTCAGCGGTCAGATTCGTCTGACCTCCAGATCCTCCGGCCATTCTTACACGCGAGCGTGTGCCGGACGCCACCTTAGATCGCCGATGATTTCGGAGGTGGCAGTGCGAAGGATTCCTGAGTCGCTCTCATACCATGCTGCGATCAGAAGTTGATCGTAACCAGGATCACCTCATGAAGGTTTGCACACGACTAGGTTGTGGTGGTGGGCCCTTGACCTCAAATCAGAGTGAATGTAAAATGATTGAGATGAAATAAAATATGCAAATACAAACATATAAATAAGAGTACAAGGTGGAATACGAAGCGACCTAGCTAGCCATGTACTCTAAGGGGTACATTCCCTTATTGCAGCGAAACTCAACCGTGCGACTCCAGACGGTTACGAACTGCCTGGGCAGAATCCTCGCCACTGCTGCTGCCTGATGCTGTCTGCCCGATGCTGTCTGCCCTGACGGTCCAGATCCTTCGTAACCGTACGAACCTTCGCGTCACCTCCGCCTTTTCGTCTTCGGCCTCGGTACTGCATGCTTCGATTGCTACTGTCAGGAGTGCACAGTAACACTTCATCTTTTACTATTCGTAACACAAGGTAATCAACAATCTTGATTGAAGGCTAGCACATTCTTATATGAGGTAGAGCCATGTGTATCATTCAAGTGAGGTGCTACTACAAAAGCTGCTGTGATGCTAGACTACATTTACATGCTCCATCATAAAATGTAGTAGAAGGTGAAAGATGGTCTGACCTGAGAACTTACTCTTCTATATTTGTGGACTAGGATGCATTCCGCTCTGGACATGTCCCAAAAGTACATGTCCCAATCGGGTGTACCGCTCCGAACCGAACTAAACCAGAGACGCGAAAATTTGGACAATGTGTGAAACTAGGGTGTAATCTGGTGTAATAAGATGCAGTGCGGTAGAATCGATTGGGACACTTTCTTTTGGGACATGTCCTGAGCGGAATGCACCCTCACATAATAATATGACATTGAAATCACCCAGCCCGAGTGTTTGCCAATGGTGCAAGGGCGCGAACTGGGATGGCTTGGGGAATACCGTCGCGCACTTTACCGGGCATATCCTTCCGCTCGCACGCGCAATGCCGCAAGGATCTTGGGTATCAATTGTGGCCCGTGTTTGCATCCACCAGTAACAGCGCTGTGCAGCATGTGCAGCTGAGCTGGATGAGAACCGGGAGAGGATAACATGGAAAGATCCGACACTGCCGACACGTCACGATCTTTGCTTGCTCAATCTGTTTCCAACTAGACGGGAAATGGGATGGGATGACGTGGCGGTTCATTCATAGGAGTCTTTTATGCTGTCTGCTTTGTTTTTCAGCCTTTTGTTGCTTTCAAGCTTTCTAGCTCTCAGAATTGCGACGTCTTTGTTTTGCGGGTTTTGAGTTGATCACGCACACTTACTGAGACTATTCGCCAAAAGCGCAGCACTGTAGCTTATGGCGCAGGGTTTCTGCAAGTTTTTCGCTCATAGCGCAGAATTAGCTCCTTTCAACGCAGTTCGATGGTCATTGGCCAAAATATCGACGGACCGACAACTCCGCCTAAACTGACGGCCAGCGAACCGTCTACACCTGCATTTTGGGCAGACAAAAATAGAAACCCCTCTCGGATGGCATGCTTGTACTCAGCACTCCACAGGTGAATACGGACACTCACTTCGCGGCAGGTGAAAATACTATATTTCATCCCTGCTTTCTCTTTGAAACAGTACTCAGCGATTTCGGTTGTTGCAAACGTATGATTGGAGGGGTTTTGTCTTAATTATCCGAAACTCCTTATGCTTACGAAACCGATTAATCAAGGGGCCGTTTCCTTCCTGAAACCCTCACGGTTTCTTCCCCTAGAGAGGGCTTTGTGGACAGAGTGGATTTAAACACGGACCGGGTCTGAGTACCGGGCTAAGATACCGAATCCTGGGTTTCCTTTATTTGTAGTTTATTATCTCATAACTACCCTAATCAAGGGTCAGCTGGGCAAAAATATTTACAGAATTACCCAGCTCCTGGCCTACCCGTCATCCCATCCCATCCACCCTGTTGGTCTGCTCTGCTCGACTCTCTTGTTCTCAAGCATGTCCCTCAATTCCCTTTTACGCCCACCACACCAAGGTCTCACCAAGTGTTGGTACTTCCAGTGTGAAGGAGGGATTTTAGCGGTCTTAGCGATTCTAAGTTCAACACGTTGCCTTTACGTATCGCTGCTGTTCCTTTGACGTGTCCTTCCATGGCGTCTATAGCTTCCCCGCATTCAACGGCAGCGATAGCCGCGTCTCACCGCACGACATCTCCTGCGAATTGCAGAAATGGCGGCGGCTGGTTACGGAAAGTTTCCCATCAACAACCCACCGCTGCAATAACATTTCGACCTTGCGCTGACTCCCGCCAGTCCGTAACGGCTACCGGAACAGCCGGCGCGGTTCGGCCCTCTCTCCGCGCCTCGGACCGGACATCGTTCCGCAGAAGCACGGTCGGCGGAAGTGGGCTGCTGAGGGCTGTGAAGTGCGCGCCGCGCCACGTGTGCATGAGTCAGCCGCCATACGGGTTCGGACCAGCCGAGCCGCCCCAGGACGAAGATGACTACGTGGAGGCGCACGTGCTGGATGCAGGTGAAGATGCATAGGCACTCTCTTCCTCCCAGCTCCCCCTCTCCTCCCCCTTCCCCCCGTCTCACCACTTCCCCCCCTTCCCTCCCCTCTCCAACCTCTCCCCTTTCCCTCGCTCCCCTCGGCTTCTTTCTTGTTCTTTGAATTTAACTGTCTCATCCCGCCGCCACGCTGCGCGCGCCTCGCGCACGACGCGCCCCTCGCGCATCACCACATTCACGCGACTCGCTCTCCTCTCCCCTCCAACTCACGCCACCCTCCCCCGTTCCTCCTTCCCCCTCCGTCCGCCTCCTCCACACCGCTCCTCGCCCCTCGTCCCTTTTCCTCCCCTCCTCGTCTCCTTGTGCCCCAATCTCCTCCTGTCTACGCGGTTCTGTGCGCATTCGTCGTGGTGTCGGCGGCGGCGGCGGCGGCGATGCATTGACGGCGTCGTGCGGCGTGCGCAGTGCGCATGGTGCCGTGCGCGGAGTCGCTGCGCATGGCGATGAGCGACGGCACGGAGCTGGAGGTGCGCCACGTGCACGCGACGGCGGGCCGCCTGCTGTACCCGCACGCCACGCCCGCCATCTTCCTCAAGATTGCCAACGCGCCTGACCTCGTGCTGCCCATCGTCGTTGGTTAGTCCTCCGTTCCCACTCCTTTCCCCTCCTTTCCACTCACGCTCCTCGCTCGCTCCGTTTTCCGCTACCGCTCCCCGCCCGCACGCCTTCCCCCTGGCCCTTATTCTTCTTCCTTCGTTTCCTCCTTCTTCCGCTCCCTCCACACCCCCGTGCTTCCGTTTCCCTTTCGCTATCTCTCCCTTCTTTCCCGCCTCCACCCTATTCCCCTTCCGCCAAACGTTTATCTCTCTTCGAGTCGTTTATGCGCATCACCACGCGCTTCGCCACGTGCATCACCACGTGCATTCCGTTTCGCTCCTCTCCGCTCGTGCTGACATCCCCTCCGCCTGCTCCCCTTTCTCCGCGCCCCGTTCCCTTCCCCCACCGCCCTCGCCCCCGTCTTCCACGCGACGGTGTTCGTGCACCCCTCCGTCTGTGCGTGCGTGCGCGCGTGCGTGCAGGCGAGCTGGCCATCGGGCTTCTCATGAAGGCCTTTCGTCGCGAACACGCCGTGAGTGCACCGTCGCGCGACATACCCTCCCCTCCCGCCATGCCCTCGCGTCCGCCGTGGCCTCGCTTCCGCCATGCCCTCGCTTCCGCCATGTCCATTCGCTTCAGCTCCGCTCAAAGGATTCCCTCTCTTTCTGCGCCGACTCCTCCCTCGTCTCAACCACACTCGCCTCCCATTGCATTGATGTCATCCCGAGGCCGATTTCTGAGACGTCTCAAAGATATCCAGGGCCCTCTCCGCTCCCCTTCCCGCTCGTCTTCCCCGCCGCCTCACTCTCTCGCTTCCCCTGCTTTCCCCTCTTTCCCTTCCCCCGCGCGCCACATGGGTACAGGCGCGGCCCAACCACTACGACGTGATGACGGAGATGGTGCAAGCGCTGCGATACGAGGTACGGACGGGGAGGTCGCGGAAGGTAACGGGAGGTAAGGGGAGGTAATGGAGGGAGAGTGCACACGGAGATTGGTTCATGGTCGCTTCTCTTGCTCTTGCGTCTCTTCCTACTCGCTTTCTACTGCTCATACTCCCCACAGGACAACTCCTCTCCTCTCGCACTGCTCTTTCTCACCTTCCGCCTCTTCTCGTTTCGCCTGAACCCGCGCTCATCCTGCCTCTTCCCTTCTTTCCGTCTTCCCCCGTCTTCCCCCCGCTCTCCCCTTCTTCCGCCACCTCTCCCTTACTCCCCACCTCTCCCCGCGGCCTGTCCGTCTCCCCACCCCTCCCCCTCCCCGCGCGCGCGCGGCAGGTGCGCGCGGTGAAGATAACGCAGCGCGTCATGGACACGTACTACGCGCGCGTCTACCTCGCCGCTGTAAGTGCCCGCCCGCGCACTCCGCGCCCCTTCTCGTCTCTCGCGCCTCTCGTCTCTCACCGCTCGTCCGTCTCCCTCCACCCCTCGTCTCTCTCGTTCCTCATCCCACGCCGTCCTTCCCATGGTCTGCCGTACTTCGTTACACCCGCCTCTCTGCGTCTTCTTCACTCCCCCTACGCCTCCGAAATCCGAATCCCACTGTCCTGCCATCGCATTTGCCCTCCTGCCCCCCAACCCCTGTCCCCTTCCTCCCCCAATCCCATTCCCCACTCTCCTGCGCGCACTGACGTTCTCGGTTCGTGCATCCCCCTCCCGCTCCCCCTCTCCCGTTCCTTCTCCCGTCTCCCCTTTCCCCGCACCTCCCTCCCGCGCACCCCTCTTCCCGCGCGCGCCTCTCCCGCAGCCCGACTCCCCCACGTGCATAGCAAGCGTGGACGCGCGCCCATCAGACGCAATAAACCTGGCGGTGCGCGCGCAGGTGCCCATCCTCGTCAGCCGCGCCATCGTCCTCAGTGACGCCGTTAGGGTGGTCCCCGCGGGCGCGGAGGGGGGCGCGGAGGGGGGAGCGGAAGGGGGAGCGGAGGGCGGGAGGGAGATGGGGAGGGAAGGCGCGGGCGGGAGGGGGAAGCGTGAGTATGGGGGGTTTGCTCAACAGCTGGGTTTTCCGCATCACCAGCAGCAGCAGCAGCAACAGCAGCAGCAGCATCAGCATCAGCAGCCGCAACAGCAGCAGCACCACCAGCAAGACTTTTTTGACGCTATGCACCAGCAGCAGCAGCAACAGCAGCAACACCAGCAGCAGCCGTTTTTGCAGAGTGGGCATGTGGGAGATCGGAGTAGCATGGAAAGGTGGGTGGGGATCTGGGAACGGTTGTATATACATGCATACACGTACGTGCAAGCACACATGCACGCACGGACACTGATAGAACATGCATGTGCTCTCGCTTATACACAAACAACCACGCGCGCGCACATTGCTATTATCATGCACCTTGTGCTCTTTCAAATGTCTTAAGCAGTGTCTTAAAGCCTTTGCTGCGTGCATTTTTTCCCCTGAAAGCCCTCCTTCCCGCTCCTCGCCCCCACATCTCTGCCTCCCTCTCTGTTTCTCTCACTGTCACTCACCCTGCTCTTATCCATCCTTTCTTTCCCAACCTCCGGTAATGATCAGAACGAGACTGACGATGTTCCTTGCTTTATTTCCCCTCGTCATATCCCTGCTTGTCCATGCATGGGCTTATTCACGGGTATTTGGCTGGATGCATGTATGGGTGCAACCATGGGTGCATATGCCCACGGATGTCCTCCTTGCTGACGGACGCCTTGTCATGGTGACAGCAGGGCGCCGGGGGCAGCAGGCGACGTTATAGCAGAGGAGATGGCGCTGATGACGGCCATGCACGCCGCTGCGAATGAGGAGAGATACGCCGATGCTGGTGCGCTGCCCCTGAGGGGAGGGGACGGAGTTGCGGTTGTATGGGTAGGATGGGTTGGAATGGGGTGGGGTGAGATGCGCCGAAGCCAGAGCGCTTGGGGAGGAGGGGGAGAGGGCAGGGGATGGGATGGGGTGGAATGGGATGGGTTGGGAAGGGAGGCAACGGGATAGCGGAGGAGATGGCTCTAATGACGGCCATGCACGCCGCTGCCAACGAGGAGAGATATGCCGATGCTGTGCGCTGCTTGGAATGGGGACGGAGGGGGGGGGGGGGGGGGGGAGGGAGGTGTTGGGGTGGGGAGATGCGCAGGGGGTATATGGGATGGGGTTGGATGGAATATGGATGGATGTGGAGGGAAAAAAATATCACGTGTGGGATAAAATACATATTTGTGTCTCCACATGCCTCGCGACGGAGTTTGGGGATGCTTCATACTTCCCAGTCTCAAGACTTGTTTTTCCTCCTTTCATGTGCCTCCTTCCATGTGCCTCCTTCCATGTGCCTCCTTCCATGTGCCTCCTTCCATGTGCCTCCTTCCATGTGCCTCCTTCCATGTGCCTCCTTCCATGTGCCTCCTTCCATCTGCCTCCTTCCATCTGCCTCCTTCCATCTGCCTCCTTCCATGTGCCTCCTCTTTTTGAAACCCATCGTTCTCGCCCCTCTTCCTGCCCTGCACTCCCTCTTTCCATGTGCCACCACCATAGCTCGCCTCAGGGACCAGCTTCAGCTGCTGCGCATTCGCAACCGCAGGCAGCTACACAACAGAGTACGACCACCCACTTCCCATCCCAGCTCTCGTTCCAGTCTCCCCTCGCTTCCTTGCTGATCCATGTGCCACGGCCCAATGTCGTTAACTTGTCCGTATCGTTGATTCAATGTGTGTCACCTGCCACCAATCAAACTGTTTTTCATCACCATCTCCTCTCTCTCCGTTTCATCCAACGTCAACTTATGATCTCTCCTGCTCGCTTCGTCCCCCTGCTTTGTTCCTAGCCGTTCTCCCTAACCTTCCATCCCCCCCTCTCCCCCCTCCCCTCACATTTTTTTTCTCGCTTGCCCACCTTCTTCCCCCTTTTCCTCCGCGACTGCAGTTCTGAACCCAAAGCTGCCTATGGCATGGCATCAAATGCTAGTCGCAAAGGTCATCTGCTTGCTCCCGTAGCTATTGGCAATTGCACCCACCCGTACCCACCTTCACACCCACCACACCGCTTACCACACTTCCCATGCACCAGCACACTTCCCCACATTTTACCACACCTCCCACGCACCAGCACCCTTCCCTCCTCTTACCACACCACCCACCCACCAGCACACTTCCCACCTCTTACTATACCTACGACCCGGCGAGCTTCCAGTCACAAACTCTCCAACCGCAACATAGCACATGCCAGTTGCAACCAGTATATCTATATTCTCGCCTCTGCCTCTGCTCCAGTAATCTGTGGGGCACACAAACACACTAGCCACCAGACCAGAGCAGCACCCTTGGGTGGAGCAGAAACCAGAGAGTTTCTTCTTGCAGCTTCTTGAATCCTGACCCGTCACCCCACTTCTTGGATGGCGTATTCCGGCATTACATGCAGCAAAAGCAAGCTACATAGGCGGGGAGAGAGGGGTGGGTGGGGGATTGGGCAGTGTTAGCAGGAGAGGTAGAGGTAATGGAGGTAGGGGGTGTTAGGGGTGATGTTGATGTTAGGACGTGCTGGCTTTGAGATTTTAGTGCATCTGTAATGTGCGTGCATGGACCATGCTAACTGCTGCTGTGGCTTCAGCAGTGTAAATAAAATAGTTTGTTTTTATATCAAGGTCTTCTAGTGATGTTGATGTTGATGTTAGGACGTGCTGGCTTTGAGATTTTAGTGCATCTGTAATGTGCGTGCATGGCTTCAGCAGTGTAATTAAAATAGTTTGTTTTTATATCAATGTCTTCTAGTGCTTTCTTGTATGGGGTGGGGTTCTATGCACAGGTTGTGTGTTTTGCTTTGTTTGCTGGGTGGCAGTGGCAGATTGTGCAGGTTGGTGCAGTTCCAATAGGTAATTTGAAACTACTTCTATTGATATACACTATAATACATGCTATAAGCACTGCCAACATGGCCTCGCATCCTACTCCGTCGCCACAACCCTATTCAGCACGGCGTTCTTTGTAACCCCAGCAATCGAAAACACTGCGACGGGTGCAGGATTCGTGGAGAACCCCGCAAGAATTTCGCCAGTGTCGCCACCCAGCATTGTCCCCGAGCACGTGTAAAACCCGTGATCGTCCACGCGCCAAGCTGACGCGCGTGGCAGGTGCACAGTGCGTGCGGACCCGAATTCCAGGCGCACGGGGGAGATCGCGGGGCGTGAGCGCGAGGGGTGGTGATTCGGCGACCAGAATTTGAAAAGCCAGGACACTGAGGTGTCGCCCCGTAGGCGCCTGTTGTGGTTGGGAGGGTGAGAGAGGGTTGACGGGGAGGGTGAGAGATCTCGTGGACAGCGGAAAAGAAATGCGCAATGGCATGTCCTGTTGCTCTGAAGCTGAGATCTTATGCTCCTTTAAAAGAAGTCAAAGGAAGAAACAGAGCGAGAGGGAAGGAGGGAGATCGGCGAGAAGGAGAGCGGAGGGGAGGGAGAAAGGGAAGGGAGGGAGAGTGGGAGGGAGAGAGGGAGAAGGGGTGGGAGTGGGGAAGAGAGAGAGGGGAGAGAGGGGGGGAGAAGGAAGAGAAGCTGATAAGAAGGGAGAGAGAAAGGAGGAGCATTTTAACACATCCAGGGAACGGCCTTGGCATGCCGAGTGGGTGTGTGACGTACAGTATTTCAAGGGACAGCGAGGCGAGAGTACGTGACTCTAGATCGCCCATGAGGGAGTGGAACGACCCTGCACCGCATGCCCACGCAGGGGGCGGGGGCGGGGGAGGGGGAGGGGGAAGGGGAGCGGGATGGGGAGGAGGGGGGGAGGGGGAGGGGGAGGGGGAAGGGGAGGGGGAAGGGGAGGGGGAAGGGGAGGGGAAGGGGGAGGGGGAGGGGGACATTGAGCATTGGAACTTAGGAGTCCTGGAAGGATCACCCATGAGGGAGTGGTACGACCCTGCACCACGTGGCCATGCGATGCAGTAGGGTGGGGATGGGGGTGGGGGAAGGGGGACAAGGAGCCCTAGGACTTTAGAGTCGGCTCAAGGGATCGCCCGTGAGGGAGTGGTAAGACCCTACACAGCGTGGCCATGCATTACATGGGTGCGGGGGAGCGGTCAACATTTGTTGGGGGGGACAAAGAACCCACTCAAGGCCACGCGCACACGCATGTATGTACGGCATGTGTTGCTCCTGGCGGCAGTAACGAGGGCCGAGCAAGCAAGGCCGTGGACTCGCCAGGCAGAGAAGTTCTGGGAGCAAAGAAGCGAGTAGCGAGCATCAAACCTGCAACGAGAGGAGTCGCCGGGCAACACACCTGTGGCGGCGGTGTTGGTGGTGGTGGTGGCTGTGTGTGCTGCTTCAGCTCCACTGAGCGAGACGATCAGCGGCACCGCCAGCACTGCTGCGATGGGGGAAAGAAGGAAAAGAGGGGGGGGATGGGGGCGGGGGGGAATAAGGAGAAGGGGGGAGGGCGCGAAGAGAGGGTGAGATTGGGTGGAGAAGAGGGGTGTGGGGGAGGGCGGGGTTGGGAGTTTGATGAGGAGGGGAAGGGGGATGATGGGGAAGGGAAGGGGTGGTCAGGGAGGGGGAGACGCAGAGTCACACGTGGTGGAGAAACGCAAGCGTGGATTGGAGGTACCGGGTGAAGGTTCATATCGGAATGGATCACGGCACGTGAACGTGCGGATTTCGAAGATGACACACGAACACGACAAGGTGGAAAAAGAAGCCGCTTTTGAAATTTTGGCAAGGGTGTGTCCACAGGAGAGAACGGTGGTGCGTGCTATAAGGGGTACATTCATTCAGATGTTGAGGCTTACTCAGGAAGAGGACAAATCTCTTGAATCTGGCGCCAACGACGGCCATAGTGGGCTAGTAGGCGACGCACGCGTGCGGGGGCGGAGGCAAAGGGGAGCACTGGAGCGCGGAAAAACTTCGACGCACGCGCGAGAGGGTGAACGAGCGAGTGTGATCACGAACACGAGGGCGAGAGCGAGAGCGAGAGCGAGGGGAGAAGGCGAGAGTAAACGGGGCTGTGATGGCTCTGAATGCCGCAGGCGGCGGGGAATGGCTGTCGCCTCAGTGAGGCCGTTGAGCGCACCCGCGGCGAGCGCTGCTGTGGCCACGCACGGGAGAGCGGCGGCGGCGGTGGCGGCGGCGGCTGGTACAGCGACAGCACGCCAAATCTAGTAGAGTGGCGCGCCGATTGCAAGCAGGGAGGGATGGAGGATTACGATAGGTGCTCGAGACGCTGTGAGGTAGTCTTGGAGGAGAATACAAGCCGAGAATGTGCGTGCGAGAGGGTGAGAGTGGGCGAGTCATGGGAGGGTGCGACAGGTTTACGGAACACTGGAATGGAAGGGCCCAACGCGAAGAGAGCGGGGCGCGCGACGTGAACATGGTTCCTGCTCCTGCTGGCTTCCGCCGATTACGCGAGGATTGCGCGACGAGGTGGCGATCGGCGGACAATGCGAACGACGGGGGGGTGTGGCGAGACGAGAGTGCAATAATGGCTGGTCAAACTACCGGTGACCATATAGGCTCCATGCAAGTCCAGGGTGTGGTGTGGAGTGTGGACTCCCGGCCAGGGAAGGGATGATCACTTTCACTAATAAGTGGTGGTGGTGATCTTGTGCTGCTTGTGAGTGGCGGGGCAATAATGCACAAGAGGTACGCGTTGTGGTGCACAGGGCGTGGAGCATCACCAATCGGCTTCGTTCGGACGGGTCTGTCGCCTGGTCTAGTGTAAGGTTATCTTCTTCTCAATTCGTGAATGCCATCGCGAAAGCGAACAGCACGTGGATTTGCGAAATGTATTACCCTAGTAAGTCCAACGCTTTGTACAATGCTAATAGGGTAGCAAATTGTTATGAGTTGTAATGAAGAAGAGTGTGCAGGATTCAATAACGCGGAAGTGATAACAACTACTGACTGAATAATGAAGCCTAGCACTAATATAGCGAGAACTAGCTAGGCCGAGGTTGCGGGACCGCGAAAGGTCAGGAGCAAGTTCGGGGTTGGGAAAACCCGAAGGCGACGCGTTGGTGGTTCGGCGGGCGAGGTCAGCGAACCGAGCCTGGAACTCCGAAAGTTGGGGCTGTACGCGTACAGTGTGACTCAGTAAGGAATTGGTAGAATTCCTTACACTACCCCCCCTTTTAAGAAAGGTGGTGAATATCCGGGACACGCCGGCGAGTCAAATAATCTTGCAGAATCGGGTGTCCTTGTAGCGAGTACGCGGCAACATACGTGTCATCGTCGCTCGTGCGATCCTTCCAGCGAAGCAGGAAGACGACGTGGCGTCCCGTGGCCGTCAGATTGACTCGGTGGTTGAGGATCTTGTCATAATGTTGTATTTGTCTAGCCTGCAGTGGGGTACTCTATAGCGAGTACAACACAATTTAGGGTTTGCTATATGTACTCAACTGCCTGCTAGTGAAACCCTCCTTTCTCATTCTAACTTTTCTAGCTGTATCTTGACATGGTTTCAGAGCAGGTCGACCCTCCCTGGTCGATCCTGTGGATGGGCCCACCCGATGCTTCCGCTGCTGTACTGCCTGTCGCGCGCCCCGGGCGCGCGACGTTTTCTGCCTGCCGCGCGCTCGTGGCTCGCGGCGTTTTTTCTTCCCGCCGCGCGCTCGGGGCGCG